ATAATTCCAAGTGAGGACATGAATGTTAATATAAAAAACTTTAACTTAGCGGTACAGGGTGCCGATGAGTCCTTCCATACTTTTTATTTTAGGATTTCAAAACTTCATAAAAAATGCGATTTTGATAACGTTACGAGAATAATTGAGAAACTAATAACTTGTTCTTTAAATGATAATATCAGAAGGAAGTTAAATAAACATAAGCACGAAGGCTTAGATAAGATGATGAAATTAGGAGTTGAGTTAGATGGCAGCAATATTAAGCCGGAGATTAGCGATACAAATTATATAGATAAAAACGAAAATTTTATAAAAAATGATTCTAAAACTTTTAATAGTAAGGGGAATCTTAATAATTTTAGGCCAAGTGATATAAATAGCAGAAACTACCAAAACAGTAATTTCCGAAATAACGAGGGTCACTCTAGAAATTTTAGTAATAATCAATCTTCAAACAACTACAATTCAAACAATTTTGGTAGGAACAACGCTCGGCAAAATTTTAACTATAATTCAAACAATTTTGGTAGGAACAACGCTCGGCAAGATTTTAACTATAATTCAAACAATTACGGTAGGAACAACACTCGGCAAGATTACAATAACAATTCAAACAATTATGGTAGAGGTACTTGGCAAAACAACAACAATTCAAACTATTACGGAAGAAACTCCATGTGGCACAATAACAATAATGCAAACAATTATGATAGAAACAATGTTGGCAAAACAACAACAATTCAAACTATAACGGAAGAAACTTCAGGTGGCACGATAATAGCAATTCAAACAATTATGATAGAAATAATGCCTGGCATAACAATAATAGAGATGGTGGAAACAATACATAGAAAAACTATCATCTAAGAAAACAAATACAATATCATGATCAGAGCCAAAGTAATAGCAACAATTGCAATATGAATATTGAAGAGATTGTGGAAAATAAAAATGATGTTACACAAAATAATAATGATAGTGATTTTAATATCAACAATTTAACCGAGCATAAACTCAATGACAATGCATTTATGACTTCCTTAAAAATAAACGATGTTACCGTTACAATGCAAGTCGATACTGGATCTAAATTCACAATTATACCTCATGATATGGCCAAACAAATAGGTATTAAAGATCTTAAAAAGTCCACTCTACAACTCACAGCTTATGATGGAAACTTAATTAAAATTATTGGCGTCACTCAAGTTAAAGTAACCTACGAATTTATCACCAAACACTTGCAAGCCGTGGTCGTTAAATCTAATAAAAATGCGTTATTGGGACGTATGTGGATTAATGCCTTTAGTAATATTTTGAACAAATTTATAGCGAACATTGATACCAACTATGAAGATGAAATAAAGAAATTAATAAAAGATTGCGAATCTAAACTGACTAAAAAACCGATCAACAAAGGGAATGTCAAGATATATACGTAATGACGCCAAACCGAAAATCATACCACCTAGACGGTTACCTTATTCAAAGATAGACGCTGTCACTAGAGAACTTGCGAGATAATTAGGAGATGGAGTCATTGAGCCGGTAACAGATGTCCGATGGGCAAGTCCGATAACCGCTGTCTACAAGGATAATGGGAGCGTTAAGGTTTGCGCCGACTTCAAAGACACTGTCAACCCAGCCCTTGAGGACTTCAGATACCCACTTCCAAGAATAAACGATCTTATCGCTAAGCTCAAGGAAGGGAAGAAGTTCACCAAGATAGATTTCAAGGATGCGTTCCATCGACGAAACCTGCAGAGACATATTAACTATATCTACACACAGGCGGTACTACCGGTTTACCAGACTTCCTTTTGGGTTAAAGACTTCATCTGCGATTTTTCAACAAATTATGGATCAAATTTTCAGTGACATGAAAGATGTCGTATTTTATATTGATGATCTACTAATAACGGGAAGTAGTGACGAAGTTCATTTCAACAACATAAAGAAGGTTTTTGAAAGAATACTATCTCATTGCTTAGTGCCTTATTTTGCAAAAAGCTTATTTTTCAAAAAAAGTCTAAGGTTCTTAGGACACGACATCGACGCCAATGAGATCCACGCCAACCATGACAAGATCGAGGCGATCGTTAAAATGCCGGAACCAAAATCAGCCGCGGAATTGTCAACGTTTCTAGGTATGGCCGGTTACTACAGAAAATTTTTGAACAACTTCGCTGAAATAGCTGATCCTTTATACAAGATTGATGGGAGTGGAATTTGGAACACTCCAAAAGTTTTGATGATCTAAAGACATTGATTAGTCTTCCTCCAGCTTTGACGTACTTTAATCCTGAATTACCCATCGGAATTGCGACTGATGCATCTAAAAGAGGTTTAGGAGCTGTTTTGTTTCACACCGAAAAAGATGGCAAAGAAAAGCCAATAGCTTTTGCCTCGAGAACGTTAGCAAAGTCCGAGATAAATTATACCAACATTGAGCATGAAGCTCTGGCCATTATGTTTGCTATCAAGAGATTTCAAGAATACTTGATAGGGACTAAGTTCACTATTGTAACGGATCACAAGCCGCTAATCCATATTTTCACCAAAGGGCTCAAAGATAATAGCACCATGTCATTAAGGTTACAGAAGTGGAGTATAATTTGGGGGGGGGGGGGTTACGACTTTAACATCAGATATAAAGCTGGTAAATACAATGTTGTTCCCGATTGCCTCTCAAGACTACCACAAGTAATTGATGATGACGTTATTGATGATATCGCGATTATAAATGACTTTGGCGATATACCTCTTAGTTTTGACCGAATACGTGATGAAACGTCCAAAGATTTTGAATTATCTCAAGTTATTAACGATATAAGAAATAATGTGCCTATTAAAAACAAAACTTATCAAAATATTGAATACGAACTAAGTATCATTAAAGATTGTCTGTACAAAAGCGACAAAATAATAATTCCATCAAGTCTGAGAAAGAACATACTGAAGGCGTTACACGAAGGTCATTTGGGAGCAGGTAAAATTAAATCCTTAGCCAAAGATCGTATGTGGTGGTCTGGTATGGTCAACGACATTGATTTGGAAGTTAGAAGTTGCTACGATTGTAATATTTTTCACGACAATCCAAAGAAAATACAAAATCCATGGGTATTGGCGACGAAACCTTTTGAAAGGATTCACGTAGACTATGCGGGTCCATTTTTTACAAAGAATTGGTTGATAATCGTTGATGCTTACAGTAAATTTCCGGTTATAGTTCCGGTAAAGAATATTACGACTGAATTCACGTTAAAAGAAATTTATAAAATTATTTCACTATTTGGTATACCTGAAACCATTGTTACAGATAATGGTACCAATTTCACGAGCAAAGATTTTGAAAAATTTTGCAGCAATTATGGTATAAAACATGTACTAACGTCGGCCTACCATCAGCAATCTAATGGACAAGCTGAACGTATGGTGAGAACATTTATGGCTCACATGAAAAGAAACATAAAGATTGACTTAGAAACTGCGCTGGACAGATTTTTGTTCAACTATAGAAACACGCCGAATGACACTACGGGAGTTACACCGTCCAAGAGAATGTTTAACCGCGACATTAGAATAAAGTGGGATTTATTAAAACCTTTGGAGGATAAAGTTGATGAAGTCAACATATCATTACCACGAAATCGAACTTTTAATAGAGGAGACTATGTTTGGTATAAGAAACAGGGTGATGATACGTGGTGCAAAGGCAGCATCAAGCTTAAAGAGAGTAACACCATGTTCCAAGTTTATACTGATAAAGGGATAGTAAGAAGGCATCTTGATCAGTTAAAGAGAATGTTACAACAGTTTAAAATATTATGAAATTGACCCTAAGAATTCCTCTAAGGGGGGAAGTGTGGACACGAAGAATGAGATTAAGATACCAATTACTAGACCAATAAGAATTAAAAATAAACCTGATTACTTAAAAGATTACGTGCTTAAAATTTAAAAATTAAACGCTTATAAAATATGAAACGCTAAAAAATGTAAACGTAAAAAATGTAAAACTAAAATAGGGGTTATAACATAATTTAAAATTTATATATTGAAATAAGGTTCTTAACGATATAGCGCGAGGTGCGAGTCAGTAAAAATATATTTTATTAACTAATTTCTTTTTCTTTTCTTAAGGTATATATACATTTTCTATAAATATAAATTAGAATACAAACGAAAAACAAAAAGTAAATATATTATAAAATATAAAAAGTAAGGTTACGCCGAAAGTTATAAAAACAAGGTTACGCAATAAAGTTATAAAATCAAATTACAAAAAATAATAAAAATTAGATTACATATAATGGCAATAAAATAAAAATCATTAATTAAAATTTCCTTTTATGATATATGATGAGTTGTAGAATGCATTAAGAAAATATTGTATAACTCCTTAAAAAAATTAAAATAATAAAATATATAATGATATTTCAATACCTTTTCTGTAAATTACTAGCCTAATAATAATATAATCTTGTTACAAATATAATGTTTTTATAGCACATAATATTTATTAATTTTAGAAAATAAAATCGCATTTTAATAATTTAAAAAATATTCAATATTATGTTTCGTCTAAATTGATTCGCCACCGCCAGCAGATTGTTATAAAATAAGAAACGCCGCCGCTGATAATGCTGTTAGCGCACAGGTATAAATATATTCCTTTTGAATGAAAATCAATTTTTTGGTGTATGCCCAAATAATTATGTACTATTTTGAAAAATTTCTATTAGAGGTCAACCTAAATCCTGGCTCATGTTTATGATTTTTTTCTTTGCAATTTTTTTTTATAGGTTAGATCTTACAGAAAATATTTACAGGCCGGATTGGGGAAAAGAGTTTAATGGGCCATGCCAAAAAACCCATATACAAATATTAACATGCTTTGTAAATTATATAATTAGATATAATACTGATTTTTTAATTCAACATTTTCCTCATGAATAATATATCATTAATTATAAAATACATTTAATTATTCTTTACAGATAGAACACATTATGAAATCCAAGAAGGGTTCTTCAGTTCGCTATGATTTGTATAAATTAGCACATCGACCTTCTACAGTCAGGGAAACGATTACCCAAAAATCGATTTTAACAGCCACAGAAGCTCAGGCTGCATTAAAATCCTTTATTGATAATTACTGGTTACAAGAAGTTAATCAATAACAAATTTCGATTATGTATTATCTTAATTTTTTTTACCTGATTATAAAACAGGATTGTCATTTAGATAATTAGAAAATCGAGATAATGATATATAGTGTTGATTATTATATAGCAATTGCAAAACAACGACCAAATTTTATTAAAATTCATTAAGACTTATTTTAATATTTACGAAATCATGCTGTCGCTCTTTACGCAGCAACAACCCCTTATTTAGCTTGGATTTCTAGTTAGCTTCAAAAAAACCCTGGATTCGAACCCAGACCTAGATAAAATCTGTAATCACCTCTTAGGACGCATGCTACTTGAAATCGTTTTTTTGTATATAAAGATCAGTGTCCGGCAGCATGGACTGGCTAGGGCTTCTAAAAAAATTGAATGGCCTGGGTTTATAAAAAAAATTTCGGTTTGGATTTAAAAATATATATACTTAATCGGCATTTTACAGTTCGTTTTTCAGCAAATATGAAATGATTTAATATCTATAACTTTTAAAACTATTTTTTTTATCCTAAAATGATAGATTAAGATTGTATTTTCTAAAGTTCGATAGAATGGTTTTAAAATGGAAATATGAGTGAATGAATGTGATATATATTATTTTTTGATAGAACGATTTTTAAATATATTTTAGCCGATCCGGATTTTTATTTTTAAGCTCGGCCTGGTTATATTTTTAAAAAAATTAGGCCCAGCCCGCCGGTTTTTGAAATATATTACGGCACGGCTCGTGTACTTTATCCGAGATTTAGTCCGGGCTTCCAGGTATCTGATAAATAATTTACCACGCTAATATTTTATGTACATAAAAAATCTACCTAGGAAATCGATTTGCTTTTTTGTAGGTTTATTTATTATATTTTTAAGGATAAAGACGAAAAGATATCTCTGAGTCAACGATCCATATTGGAGTTGGAACCTTATTTGAAAGTTATAGCTGAAAAAGATTTTACCGAAAATTCTGCCAATTCGCCTTCCCAAAGTTTTACGACCTTTGATCCTAACTGCTATTTATGCAAAAAATTTTGCACTAAGGTAAAAAATAAAATTCCTCCTATATACCTGTAACATAAAAAATATATAAAAAGTATGAAAAATGTCCAAATTGTTCTGTCAAGATTCATCCCTTCTGTCATACCAAATTTGTGAGAAATATTAAATCCGAAAACGTTACCATTTTTAATTGTCCATCCTGTGAATTCTAGTTCTTGACTAATATTTTTTTTAACTTTTTGTTATGAAAACTAATTTTTACTCGTTTATTGCTATGTTTATATTACATCAAAATTTAAGAATTTTAACTTATACTTATTTAATATTATCACTGATTTTTTGACATTTAGCCTATACTTGATTTTATTATTTTCCATATTTGGTTTATAAATATTGATATCTAATATTTTTCAAAAAATTGTATATTCATATAATGATTGTAAAAAAACTGCCGAAAAATTATAGATAATATAAGTGAACAAAATTGCATAAATATAATAATATATAATTGTAAAAAAACATTGTTAGTTAGGTTGTTTAAAGAATATTTTAAAGATAATAAAAAAAAAATTTCTAATTCAAACTTTTTAATATGATATATTTCACTGGAATCATTTTTTTTTTAAAGTTATAATAAAAAAATTATTAAATATAAAATTGCACTATTAATTAAATGCAAATATTATGTCAAATTATTTAAATTATATCAATCTATTTCATCAATAATATGAGCGAAGAAAATTGTGAAGGATTTATTGAAAAATATTATATTTCAATATTGATTGTTGATTATATCGTGACACATTGTCCCCATTTTAACGCCTTTAATATAAGGCAGAGAACTAGCGTGGCTCTCCGTCATTTGATCACAAGAGTTAAAATTGGTTCTGACTTCACACGTGTTAGTAGTAGGTTCTCCAAAATTTTTTGATTCTTTTTCTAGCACATTATCCGAAAATTCCGACAGATTATTTGTTCCGCGTTCATAACCTTTATCGTATTGACTCGGCTGATCATTTTTAACGTTATGATTGGGTATAGTATGATCTTGGTATCCAGATTTACGCCTTCCTATTAGTTCTGTGTCGCTCTGGGCCATGTCGTTAAAATTATCGAAATGATTTTGCAACCCGTTATTTCGTAAGTATTTGTTTGACGCCAACATATTATCATCGTAAGACTTTGTATCATCTGAATTGAGACTTAGATTGGAATTGGACTCTGTTACACTCTTGGTTTGGCTATTGATTATACTTGAATTGGCAAGGAATAGTGTGCCATTAAAATTGGTGTTATATTGGCAATTATTAGCCAACCTTGCAACTTTGCTCTTCAAGGCTGCGCTTCTTATCTGCTTAGCTTGAGCCGCCTCGTTTGCTATTTGCTTTTGAATATTGGCGAATTCTTTCCAGTATGTACCTTTTAAATCTTTCTTGGGCATTGTATAGCTTTTGGATTCGGTGTTTGATAATGATATTTCCTTTTTAAGAACATTTTTAATTTCGGGTAAATCATTTTGTTTAGTCAGTGCAACATCAGTCACGATGTTTTCTTTAATTTTAAATAATCCTTTCTCCGAGTTATTAGGCAAGGGTGGTGCCCAGGGTGCGTTTTTAGATACTGAAATTTCTATATTTTTATTCTTCGATGGGTATACATTATAACTTATGATCGGCTTTAAATTTTTAACCTTATTTACTTCCACATTTTGCTTTCCAGCATCATCGTTCTTATTTTTAAACTGTTTATTATTGTTATGATTTGTTGGTTTATTTAAGGTGGAGGGATTTTCATCATAAATATCCCTTAGAGTATTTGTTATACAAGATTGACTCTGGTAAGCTATGTTATGATTCAGTTTGGGATTCTCCTGCTCATTAACATATTCATATGTTCTAGATACATGATCTTCGCTTGGTCGAATATCAAGTACTTTTTCCTCGTATTTGCGATTTATCCTATTTTGTAAATTTGTGATAGTTGTTTTACCTATTGGATTCTTAATTATTGGATTATGAATTGTAGCCATCATTTCTTCAACTTCATTATTTTTTATCGGAGTTTTTGGTCTTAATGATGCACAGTATACATTAGGGGAAGACCCTTTGTCTGAGCTTTCTCTTAATAATTGGACATCTCTCAAATTTTTGTTATTTTCATCCAAATTTTTATACAAATCATTATATGAATTGATACGCTGGGGTCTGTGAAACTCATTTATTCTATTATCTTTATCATACCTCACCCCATTAAAATTACTTTCTGACACAGATAAATTATTGTAGGAATTCAGAGGCGACATCTCTTTAATTGGACTTAAATTGCCAGAAACGGGTGACATTATAGGAGATCTAAGTGTTAAACTTTTAGGTTTTCTTGGTGGGGGTAAGGGTTGATTGTCATTTGATTCTAAGGAACCCAAAAAGGCATAGTCGTTTAAACCTTTACCAACGTACTCCACTTCAGAATTAATCTATAAGATAATAAAATTTAGTGATAGTAAGCATTTATCCTAGGGTATATAAATAAAGCATATCTATAATCCTAACCTATATGATAATACAAAATTTGGTGATAGTAATAATTTATCCAAGATGTATATTAGCATGACTATAATCAGCGAAGTAAAACAAGAATACGACTCAGTACATATTTTAAAAAACACTTGTTTACGGCACCCATCTTAAATGTTGAGGGGATGCCCAGTCCTGGTTGGCACTAACCAATACTCCTTATCGTAGAACTTTTTATAACTGATATTTATATTACAATCTAATAATATATAATATTATTAGTAAAGTTTAATGATAACTTACACCATTAATATAACCATTGTCGATCATGTCCCCTTTATTTGTAAATGGCTCGGATCTTGTAGACATAGCTGAAAGGCGTCCGCTTGAAGTACTTCTCTGTTTTATTTTTTGAAGTAATTTAAAATAACATCAAAATTTTGATTTATTTTAAAATTCATAGTGGTAAAGTATAAATAATACCGACCAAAAGCATAATACAATTATTAGCCCCGAATAACATGCTTATAATGTTTAAATAACTGATTGGGGGAAAAAATAACCCAGATTAGGGATATTAATGAATTTTAAATGATTAAGTTTAGTCATGCTGACGAGTTTATAATGTTATAAAGATATATAAAACTGATAATGTTAGTTTTGATTGATGCAATTTTTAAAAAAAATATAAATTTTTATATGGCTTTGATTTAATATTTTTTTAAAAAGTGTTTATTATTTATATTATACTTTGATTGTTTAGCCAAATTAATAATAGATATTTCTATTGACTTGATAATTAGAACAAGTATATAGTTTTATTATATTAAGATTCACCAGATGGCGTTATTTATTCGATATTTTTACCAAATCATTGTAAGAATCTCATTTTTTAAAATGAAATTTGATAAAGTAGTCTGCGCTAATATTAAGTCTATGTTTATAATGATGCATACTATATAATTCTGATATATATTTTTATTAATAAAGCTATGTTGTTATTGTTACCATATAAATAAATATTTTCAACAAAAATACATTAATATTGATTAATAATTGCAAATCCTTGTTAGTAAATCATTATAACACAAAATAATAATATGCATATTTTTAAAATAAATGGCAAATTTATCATATTACATTATACGATGTAGAGAGATAGTCTACATTTTTATTATGTGATAAATTAGGATGCCAAGAATTTTTATGACGTGAAGGAAAATTGGTTTTGTCAACACATTTTAAGTTCTCATAGTATGGTTCATGAATTAAATCCTTCAAATCGAGAGGCATAGAATCAAATTTCCATTCCTGTTGATCGTAACGTTGATTAGATGACGAATTTCGGCCTTTACTGTTTCTATAAACGTTACCTCCCATTTCGTACAAATGGCTTATGGATTCTTCTAGTTGGTTAGTTATATTCTCCATATCGTGGATCTCGGCATCTCCATTTCCTAGTTTACGATTATGCGGATTAGTTTTATGATTCAAGAGATCAACTTTGTTCCCGCTTGGGCATGTGTCGATTTTGACATCTTGTTTATTTTTGTTGTTAAAAACTTTATTAGCTATATCTTCGTTATTTAACATTTTACCAACATGAGGACTAGAACGAGCAGATGATATAATACTCGAACTGTTCGAAGAGTTGTAACAATTTGTTGAATTTTCATTGCAATAGCTGCTGCCACTTCCATCGTCGCTATTTTTATTTTCGCGTTTAAACCCGTAATTAATGGTTTCGTAACGGTTCGCGTCGTAATTCTCATAGTTACAAGGTTGGGTTAGAAGCGGGAGCGGGGTGGATGATGTTGCACAGTGACTGTAATAGGACTTTTCTTGATTATTTTTTTCATCCATATATCTATCAAAGTTTTTGACATTTATAATGTGCTGAACCTTAGTCGAAGGAGGAAGATTGATATTTTGATTCGACTTAGATGAGGAGGAATAACAACTTCTCCCAACTTTATCCTTTAAACTATCGCACTAATTTAGTTAAAAATAAAATAAATATTATAATGATGCTAGATACATGCTTCATGTTCCAAACATAATATTATAATTAAATTATAAACATGCAAAAAATGGTCATGCAAATATTATTTAGTATAGAGTTTCAGGATTTATAATTATTAAACATATTTTTTTAAAAATCCTACATAATAGAAATTTATATCGCCATAAAGCATTAGAAATTATAAGAAAGTAATTAATTCTTGGTTAGGGAAGCTATGTGTTAAAAGTTAAATAATATAAATTTTATAGCAGTAGATATGAAAGGTATAATTAAATAAAAAATATAATAGTTTTTAAAGTATATTTTGTATAAAATAATTACAATACAACGATTAAAAAATCCTAAATGATTTCATGAAGTTTAAATTAAAAGCGAGATAAGGATTAAAAACCCCAAAAAATCGGTTAAAGAGGATATTCGAAAAAGTTTTCACAAAATTTTTTTTTTCATCTCAAAGATCCTATACCATTGAATTTAGACTTTGATTAGGTGGAGATCTATTGATAGGGCGATTATTTATAATTTGAGGTCTTGAATAGGTTGAATCTTCTGCATTCACAATCCTAAATAAATATTTATTATTAGAGATTAATATTGATACTGATTTGTTTTAATGGCATTTAAGCTTTCCTCGTTAATTATATTTAAACTAAATTAGATTCCTACATCTTGTTCACTTGACCCCTTACCCTAATTTAAATTGATCAATCAAGTTTTCTAATTGGAGAGATAGAGAAAATCGATTTTGAATATGAAAACTTTTTAAGAGAGTCTAAAATGTTTGTAAGTTTCTTGCATCTATTCAATGAATTTCGTAGTTTTTCGGGTTCTATCTTTAAGAATCTGATATTATATTTTTTAAATAATATCTTACATTAATACAATACAATTTATAATAGAAATAATATAGTGCGAAGCAGTTGTATTAAACTTCCTTGCCAAAATTTTTATATAACACTAGTCTAATAGATAGCTTCATAATTACAGGGTAGTATTTAGAGACCTGGCCCCCTAAATAACTGCTTCCACTCCACAAAGCAGAATTATTTTTCAAAGTTTGTTTCATTCAATAAAATAAATTGTAACTACAAGAAAATATAACATAAATTAGTTTACTATTTAACAAAATTTATATTATAATATTTTATTATGCTATATATTGCAATAAACATTTTTTTAAAAATGTTAGAATCCCAGATGCTAGAATCTAGAAGGGCCAATTTATCAGATCGCGGATCAGGGCCGCGGCAGCATCAACAATAATATAGGCCTGGCTTATGGCCCGAAAAGTATTAATGCTGTAATTCCTTCCTATTCATCCTTTTTTGCCTGGTTAAATGTCAATTTTAAAATAAGAAAATTTTTTAAAAAATTAGAAGGTGCAAACTATTGCTATTTTTTATTCATTTTTTTATGTCTCAAATGTTGTAATGAATAGTATAAAATAGATAAACATTTTTAATCAATGTCATTGTCGAATATTTAAATTTATCGCGTAACTTTAAAACAGAGAATAAAATAAACATTTTGAGTTTGAGATTACTTTCCTTTAACCCTGCATTCACAGTTAGCGCGAGCAGGGGAGAATACAAAAATACAGCATATTTTGCATAGTTCGCTACGAATTGGCGCAAACTATGAATGAGGGGTAATGCTTTAAAAAAAATTTGGACCAACGGGCCACACTTGGACCCAAATATTCCTAGTTAATGCATCTGCTATAGACTAATTTAATCGTTCGCCATTGTAACCATATAATCAAGTTAGATATATAAAATTAATTAGTAAATCGTTTAAATTCACTATATTGTAATTTTATATAATGCAAAAAATCATACATTTGTCGTTCTTTGTTAAATGAAATTTTATCATCATATGAAATTTGACTCAAATCGATTCCAACAATGATTAAATGTTCCATTTTCGGGTAGCGGTCTGTGATATAAAAAGTGAAATTATATTCCATTTATTTTTAAATGAATTACTTAGATTTATAATAAAGTTTTTTTTTATAAAAATTTGTTCATTTACTAAAAAAAATAATCATCATTTACAGTATAAACTGGTTTATGTATTTTTATTTGGTATGTTAATGATTTTTTATAAATGTGCAAACTTTTTAAATCAGTGACGGCCCTATTGGCGAAGTTCATAGCTAGTGATATTGATTCTATGTCATTCGTCTGGAATTGGGATCTTTTCTGCAGGATGTCATTCCTATATTCTTCGATCGATATTTCTATATCACTTGATTTTATTAATTTTCAAAAAATTATTTTAAGAACATAATAAATATTTTGTATTTAAAAGTTTCTTGAAACTAATATTTAAACATCTTCACAATATAATTTGAGAATAATATCACAAAAATGTCATGATTGATAATTACATTAATATAGATTGATAATTCGACTCTATATTGTCTATATCTATACTATTAAAATATAATATATAAAAAACTTCAAAATCTTTTCTAATTTTGACATATCTTGTCGATAAATTTCGATTTCTTTGACCAGTTCTCTGGCATCTTCTATTACTAAAAGGCCTTCGTAATCATAATAGTTTAAGGAAGAACAAAGTGCGTTAGATAGCTTACAAAAGGCCGACGGGGGAACGTATTTGCAAATTAACTATTTAAAAGAAATAATATTGTATAATTATTCTCCATATATAGTTAATTTATGAATTAAAAATCTGCAAAAATACCCATTTTCAGGCATGGCTATTTTTAAATACATATAATTTGAAGGCCAACGTCTAATAATATTATAATTTTGTAAATTGTTTTAAAAAGTGAAAATTATCCGCCAGAATTTAATGAATCTTTAAATTCAAATGATTTATTTGAGTACTCAATTAGGTAATAGATACAATTTAAATTTAATATGTTAGATGTTATTTTTAAAAAATTTGAAACCCAGGGTTTTAAATAATATAATTTTACAGTGGGATGGGCAGGGCTTGAATGAGCCTGAGGTATCTACTATAAACATTCTATTCAATTAATATATTGTTTGCAATTGTATATAATTAATTTACCAGCATCTTGTTTTTGGTTTGCTGGATAAAGTTTTGCGAATCATAAGTATAAATCTTTGTTAAATGTTTGAGACTTTTTACATCCACCTTAATTTCTAGTGTTTTATCGTGCAAGGATTTCAATAATGATGACGATTCTAATCTTTCATCTTGTATAAAATAAAATAGGAGTTAAATATAGGGTTTCACAAACTACTCAAAATCAAACATTAAGATTTTCATTTCTGAAGATTTTTTGAGGCTCAGGCAAGATTTTTGTTCAAATTTTGACCAAAATCCCAAACCTTTTTTGTATAAATAAATCTTTTGTGATTTCGATGAAATCACACTCAAGATTTTTTGTTAAACCCTGGTTTATTATCATTTGATCGATCAAACAACATTTTAAACTGTAAAATACATTTTGTAATGGGTTATTAATTTAGTTATAGTGATTTTTTATATATTACACTGATAGTTTTTATAATTATATAAAATTTCTATCAGATATTTTGACAAGATTAAACGTTTGAGCTAGATTTACATAGCATGTGTTTAAAAATAATTATTATATGAATATACTTTCATCAGAAGTGGATGAACGAACTAAGGCATGTTGAACCATATTTGATAGTGCGTTAAGTTTTTTTTCCATATTGTCCATTTTATATCTTTTGTGTAAATAATTATAATTACACATAAGTTTATTTTATAAATTTTATGGTTGTTTAAAAGGATAAAATGATTAGGCATTGTTACATTAAATAAAATGGTGTATATCATCTAATAATTAATTTAATACTTTGTATCACAATTTTCCCAAGATAAATCGTTAATGCTATCATCAATTGAGGCATTAGTTAATGTATTTCTATTCTCTAAAATAAAATTATACATATAATTTTTAAAGCAAATAAAACTATATGAATAACAATGTATTGTTTCATATGAGAATAGGAACAATTAGAATAATGATATTATAGAGAATTACTTAGTTTGGCTTCCATGTGGTCTAATATTTGCTTTTGCTTGTTGAATTTAGATGGCGCGGTCATTGAAGAGGAAAGTTTTTCGTTGGAGTGCAGCACTATTTGTTTAGCTAAGGGACGTTCACAACTATAATTGTTTTTCCCGTTTATATCAACTATTTGACTAGCGAACATACTAGAATATTTGTTATCAGCTAATCTAGCAGCCCCAGCCTAAATATATTTATTTTGAAGATTTATATATGATTATTTACTTACGAATTATATTTAACTATAATTAATTGATAAAGATGGCAAGCAATTTTGTATTATAATAATTAAATCGAATCCTTATTATTAACTTGGAGAACTGTACTTCTACTTAAAAAAAATATTTCATTATCTATAAAAGGCTATTTATATATAATAAATTTTTATAAATTACTAAACAAACCCTCGATCCATAAGAATTAGAAATGTAATTCCTGCCGGTATAATTATCTTTCCTGTATTTCCTAAAATCATGTTCTGGTTCGGAATAATAAGAAACGTCGTTTACGCGGTTCGATTTATCGAAATTATTTGAAGCAGGCATCAGTTTGCAAGTTTGTATGCCATAATCTTCTTCGGATTCTTGGTCCAAAGAATCTTTATCATTGGTGGATTCTTTATTTTCCACGATTTTGAGGACCGATTTATTCACAATGTCGCTTAATAAAAGCATGTTTTTATGTTAATAGAATAATTTGTGTAACCATGGGAAATTTTAAATAAACGAAAACTGGTTTGTGACCATATAAACTGATATTTTTCCATATTATTCTTTAATTTTTTTTCCAAACATTTAACTTTTTTGCTATTTATAATATTAAAAAAAAACGCAAACTATTATGCTTATTTGTTATGTTCTTACCTTTTAATATAATATTTCCATATATTGACCACATTTTTTTAAAAAAGAACACTACATCAATTTACAAAACGCAAGTGCTCAATCAATTTGAAGGTAATTAACCATAAAAAATATTTTTAGATATTTTAAAACTGGAGTTGTTTAAAATCAAACCTTCATAAAACTTGCAAAATTGTTAATTGGCGAAACATTATTATTTTATTATATTAAACCCTATTTCGTCTAATTCGTAAAAAAGGTCTTTTGGATTATCATTATCTTGTATGTATATGCTACAATTATTAGTCAAATGTCTTATGGTTAAGTGCTTAGGAAATGTTCTAGCAAACAGAGTCCGAACATCTTCAATGTATTTCAGCCCTCCTACCGGCACAGATATCCGCTTTGTTTCGCTCCCATAACGCAAGTATATGATATCTAAATAATTTAGAAATAATATGTTTAAAAAAAAATATTGTTAATATATTGAGTATAAAATATTAGCATATATTTTTATTTTTTGCCCCAATGCTTCAAGTATAAGTTTGGTTAATTTGTACCCCAAACTAAAAGGTTTAAAAATCAAATATAACATTAAATAAAACACTTACTAGATAATAGTTTCTCGAGATTGTAAATTCCTTTACGGTCAAGTGAATGTGAGTAAATGTTTCCCCTTGAAAAGTTATTGATTTGATCCTGGGTTCTCTTGAAATAACCAGTATTGCTTGTTTCAACTTCAGACATCATGCCAAAATCATCATCATATTTGTTGAATTTGGTTAAGCTGTCTTTATCTAAATTGTCATCCTTAATTATAGGTATATTCATGCTAATACCATTAGTCAAATTCGGTGTTCGAGGCAATGGGACGAAATACAGTGGCTTTAATAATTATAGATATTTGTTATAATCATTTTGTGTTTTAATAAGTTTAAAGTAAAGATTAAATATCGTAAAATAATATATATTATGTAGAACCATGACCAGATGAAAATAGGCATATTGAAAAATAACATGATAAATAACGACCATAACAAAATTTGACTAAAATTTTAAAATATTTATATAGTTTAATTTAAATAATGATTTTTAAAAAGTCACAATAGTGTAGTGGTTAAGAGACCGGACTTGCATCTGATAGGTCTATGTTTTAGTTTCAGTAAAGTTCTTTTTCGCTTCATTGGTAAGATCAAACTGATAACTTAGGAATGCAATACCCTAAGAATATGTCTCATTTTATTTACCAAAGCATAGGTATATATGGACTAGTGTTAGGTTTATATTTAAACCAATGGGCGTATATTTCCACCAGTTAAAATTCTTTTTTTTTATCAACCAATCAAATTATCATCTTTGTTTATTAAATTATTTTCTGCAGTCTATTTTAGAATCTGTAGGAATACAAAATATAGCATATTTTATATGCTTCGCCGCCAATTCGCGCTAACTATGAATGCATGATGATGCTCTTTATCATTTCAATATAGACATTTTCGTTGACTAAAAAGACCTTTCTATATTGATCACTTTTTAAAAATCATAATTTCTTTTTAACTACTCTATAATAATTTTAATAAAAAAATATACCTTGCTATTTTGGTTGAGATAAATGTTAGTAGTCCTACCTTTGGAACGATCTTGCGGAGATACCCTGTGGTTTTGATAATCGTCAGAATCGGCCATTCCATTTGTCTTTTTAAATATGAGCGTATTTTCTCGTCTTAGAGGTGACAAATTAGTATTTTCGTCTATTTCGTATAGACCTTTATTATGATTATTAAAATAATCAGCTTGATCTTTATAATTATGCAGGGTATCGTTACTACACTTATCCGGTAACGTCAAGGTATTGATACGAGCTGGTACAATGTAGGATATCTTGGGTCTGATAATTTCTTTTGCAGGAGAAACAGATATCAGGCTTCGAGTTGAGGTGGAAATTGGTGGGGAGTTCACTATTTTGGCCCTTAATATCTTCGGTTGCTCGTCATCTCTTCCTTCGTGATTAAGGTCTCTACGATTTATAGTAGTCGCGTTTGAATACAACGACCTATATTTAGTGCCAGCTGAATGATCATTTTTTGCTTCTTTGTAACTTCTGTAACTTTTGATATCGGCATAATTTTTCCCATCTTTTACAATATAACCACTGTTTACCAAGTACTCCTTCTCGTGCGATTTTCCAACTGTAATAGAACTACCATCGCCGCCGTCTATGAAACCTATATCATCGCAGGGTGGTTCGCGCGATTTATCGTTACCTTTTTTACTAACAACATTTATAAGCTTCACAGACCCATTTTTTACTCTCTCGTAACCATCATCCTTTGATTCTTTGCAGTGATTGTTCTTGGAAGCTTTCTTAATCTGATCCCGGCCCAGGCTGCCCCATCTCATCTTGCTCAGAGCATAGTTTTTTGTGCCGTTGGAAGTGTCGGTCTGACTTAGCTTACCTCCACCACTTTCACCAATAAGTTTTGACGATGGGGATAGATCGTCCTTACCTTTCTTCGATTCATCTCTTTCCTCTGTAACTTCATGATCGAAATGATTCTCATCGATACTTTTAGTGACACTTTTATGGCGTCTTTTATTCAGAGGCCCGTGGAATAGATTTGGCAGGGTGTTTCCCAGGTTTGTGGTCAACTTTTTCATTTTTTGGTTGAGCGTTTTGTGATGTTCTTTATTAGATACATAGTTATTTGAATTGGATGGGTTATTTATATTGTTGATATTCTGATGGTTTGCATCTAGCTCGGCCGAGCATAAAATAATGCTGGAAGAGTTAGAAGAATGAGTTTTGAGCGGGGATTTCAGGGTTAGTTCATGTCTGCGTGGATTCGAACAGTCGTTCGTGCCATTTTCATTTGCGTCGTAAAGTGTGGTTAAATCAGGTCTACAGTTTTTTTCCTTATGGCCGGAGTTGTTTGAGTTAATACCACCTTTTTCTTTCCTGAAATTAGCTGTTGGATAAATTTAATTTAGTTTTTAAAAAAATATGGAAATTTTAAGAAAAATGTAAGAATCTATAACAAACTTTATTTTGTTCAATTTTTTTACAAAAATGGAATATTAATTCACCATGACCATAACATCATTTTTTCTATAAGTTCAAATTAAATGCCAATTTTGACATAATAAAGCTAACACACAGCAAAATAATTGTTTGTATATTTTTATAAAATATAAGATAAAAAATGAAACAAATATATATGCTTAAAATATATATTAATTTTATTGAATGTTCTTGACAATTTTGATATAAAAAATAAACATTTCTTCCTAAAATAAAGAAGAAGAATTAACATTTATGTTTATATAATCTCAAACGAATAATAAAAATTATTATTATGCATAATTTGAAACCACTTATTAATAGGATTATAAATTAAGGTCAATCAAACAAATTGATTTTAACATGATATTGACATTTAAATTTGCAAATAAAAAAAGATAACTTTATTAATTTTTTTTAAACTTGAGGTTAAGCACATGTTTGTAATGTACAAAATCAATATTGTTGGGTAGAGTATATATTTATAAAGAAACATCTTACTTATATATGTTATACTAGAGAGTGTTCTATTTGTATACTTAACGTTATATAAATCTAATATTTAGACTTTACTTATTTTTGCCCCCCCCCCCGCCCTTTTTATTAAAACTGTGCTCACCAACCTGTAAATTATAAATATACTTATATATATCTCTACTAAATCAGATAAAATTTATTCTTAAGCTTTCAATATTATTTATAAAAATTTTTAAACGTCGCCATTAGATAAGAAACGGTAATATATTCTTCTTCTACATTTAAATGTATGAAACCAAACATGCATGCAGTCTTGGTCATATAACAAATAATTTTTATTTTATTTCTCCCTTTCAATCTCAAATGGTATACTTACGTCATTACACTAATACTAAAATTATTATTTAATTAAGAATAAATTGGGAGTTATCTTGTTATTGTTATATAATTTATAATGTTAAAAGCTAGTGTAATCCAAAATTAATGAAACAGACCTGGACTAACCCACATTATATCGGAATCCGAACCAGAACTGAACATCATAAAAATATTTATCCACGAGGGTTCTATTTTTTCTCACTAGCTACAAAATTTAAGGTGTTTATTATGTTGCAAAATAATTTTAAAAAAGCGACCATTTTTGGTTTTTTATTTTTGGAGCGGTCAACAAAATTATGAAAGTCAAAAATTTATAAAAATAAATAAATAAAAATTTTAAATGTAAAATTAATTTGGATAAATAAAATATACCATCGGAAAATTGAGTCGCAATTGTTATCAATCCCTAAGGCATAGATTAATAAATATTTATTTAAAAAAAAGTAACAAAAGACCTCTTATGAATCTCCCTTAAAAAGTACAAAAAGACCTCATTTTATCAAAATAAAATAACTTAAATATTTATCAAGACATATAAGGTGTCAATTTATTTTGGATCTAGTCCAGATTTTATAACATTTACATTTTTAAGTTCGACTAGCCTAAAAAATTATTAAATGGATCTTATTTTTAGACTCGACTTGAATTTTTTTAATTTTGTTTCATTATAAATAATTTTCACCGTATTTTGTAAATAGTTTTATAGAGGAAATTTAAAAATGGAAAACGAATAAATGCTAAAATACTCATCGTGGTAATTTTTTTCAACTTGGTTAATTATATTTTTATAAAAAAATTGAAATTCGGCCTGGCCTGATTTGTGATTTTTAGGCTTAGAGTTTGGACTTGGAGTAGAACCCTGCATCGCACTTGTTTTAGTAGGTCTGATTAGATATGGTCCACATTTTTTTTATCTAGACCCGAGTCGAGTTTGATATCTGGCAATTTTCCCTACGAAGTCTGCCCAGTCCGGCCTAATAATTATAATTTTAAAAATTATGTCCGATTCACCCAGGTCCATCCAAATTTTTAAAAAGCAAAAATTTTATTAATATAACAAACATAAATGCTAGGGAGTTTGATAAAAATTAAAATGTTTCAAAATTTAAAGACCTTTTTCATAAAGAAAAATTCTTAAGTAATATACATAGTGATATCAAAAGTCTGTCAGGGCATGTTATTAGGGACGCTAATCGCTCTACCGGGATGGGACCTGTTCCAAAGACGCTACCCAACGGAACGCGCCCATATCCATCTCTGCCAATAATTTTCTAATAAATTTGTAAAAATAAATTGTCTTTTTTGAAAGAAGGAATGCGTCACAAAGACCCTTACCTTAAATGGGGCTCTCAAGAAAGTTGATCAAGGACGGGACTGCGGCAGTTCTGTCCGTATGGACGATTGATCATCTATAAAATATATTAGAGATCTGCAACCGCTGGGGCGAATACGGGTCTGCCAATTCAGGGGTGGACTGGCGACGCTACGGCCTCGCGGGCATTTTTTATAGCGGTCTCATTTGAGGACTTCGCCCCCATACCCCCATTTTGCGGGCCGGCCCACTTTTGCCCAGTATTCGACCGGGTTCCCTTAATTGGCTTCTTTGATTTATATGATTTTTATTACTTCTTATTTTTTGAAAATAAGTTTAAACTATTTACATTTTAGTAAAAAAAAGAATAGTATTATACGATAATCATATATTTTATTTTAAAAAAATGCACATCTAAAATCATATTCATTACCTATATAAAATAATATTCATTGAAAATATATATTTTATATTAGATTTACAACGATATTGCACTATAAAATCAAATCATACATCACATGTTGAATATAAAAAAAATGCATACTCAATATATTAAATCAATTAATTATAAATATAAAATTAATGCAGTTATACAATATTACAGAGAATAAAATTTCTGAAAATATATAATTTTTACGTTAATAAATCTCTCATTAACTTTGAACCTTTGCGCAAATATACAGGAATATCTTCTAGTTCAATCTACGCTAATAGTTCACGTTCAACTGACATCATTAAAAACGCTTCTAATTTTTCTTGGTCAATATTAGCTCTTAGCTTATTTTTATAATTTTTAATTTACTAAATGCTTTCTCGCAATTAACCTGGGTAAATGATAAAGTTAATTATATATTCATATGCCAAAAATAAATTAATGTCATTTGTATGCATAATTGTATCTTTTAAGAATTTCATACACGCTTATTTATCACTTGTTACATTTATTATCACACTCTGATTTATTATCATATTGTAATATTCCATTCTTCATTTGACTCCTCACTTGTACATGCTATATCATCGTCCGTTTCATTTAATTCTGCTACCAAATCTTTGAATACACTGGCAAATGAACATAATTCGTTATGAAATTTAAAACTCAATATATATGCCAATTGTGCCAGTTTTTCCAAGGCCTTTTCAGAAATACCTTTACTATTTATTTCATCAAAATGTCTTGGATGCAAATATCACACATTAAAGATAAGCTCTCAATTCGCAGAAGAAATAGTTCGAACCTATAAAGGTCAATCGATTCTTGAGGACGTTCATCTTGGCATTTGTCACTATATATTCTCTTCACTCGTCCTATTCGATCTTTTAACAGAGCATTTTGTACCCAGATACTCTCCGGAAGCTATAAATATGAAAATGTTTCATTTAAATTAGCAGCCATTTTATTGCTTTATTTTGAATCGATGTTTTCATTTTCCATGCTGACAAAGTACCTAATTTTTTTAGTTTGAAGATATGACAGAGGCCACATTATTTTAAAATTTCCAAATATATTTTAGCTGTAGAGTCTTAAAAATTATCAAGTTTTTGTCTCAAATTATTTATTATCTTTATAAATTGAAGTGCCTTTATCGTTATTGGGAGCAAGCTCTCTCATATATCCATCTAAGGGCTTTTTCACTTGCCCACCACCTTATCTCACCTATTTTTTGCAGCCTTCTCAACTTATTTTGTCCAGATGAATTATTCTGTTTCACCCAAGCATCCATCCTTTTATCTGATTCACCGACCTGGATTTTATTTTATTTTAATGAATTACGAATAAGAAATGTTGGCTATATTATTTCTACAATAAATCAATGTATAAAAATATAATATAATAAATTAATAAACTTAGCTTACACTCTACTCAAACGGAAGCGTTTTCACTTCATTTGAAAAAAAACAAAGAAAAGAACATGGTAATGATGTGTAGCATCAAGCCACTTTATGGATATATTATGTATTACAATATAGTAAACAACATGACAATTCTCAAGGAATGTGATATTCAAATCATAGAGATATCATTAAAATTAATAAATGATAAGAGAAAATAATGTGAACATAAATATAATTTTTTTCTAATTGGCCTCTATTTTGATATTTTCCTCTTATCGGCCTCAAAAATCGACATTTTTTCGCGGCCTCGTGGGCAAAAAGCCTACCGGGTCTTATGGCTAGTCCGCCCCTGTGCCTATTTTTAAAAAATAATCTTGAGTTCGGAGTGGGTTAGGCCTAATATTAAAAAAAAATTCCACCCCGGTTGGGCCTAAATTTTTAAATATGATATCACTCAATTTTGTGGAATAAATTGATATATTTTATAATTCTTGGCCGTTATATTTAAATAAACCAGGGGCGGACTGGGGGTGGGGGGAAAGTAATTTTTTTTATTTCTATAAAAAATATTTGTTCTGGATCACCCTGACAAATTTTAAAAAAAAATATTTAAGGCTAAGCCGCGCTTGAAAAATTAGGCAAGATGCAAATCACTAATATACATTACAGATTTAATTTTAAAGGTATATAAAAATTTTCATGCAAAATTAATTATTGAATATAATGTTTAAATTTATTTTTATAGTTTGTTGCAAAAATACTTATCTATAATGTTCCTGAATTTCTGGGACCATACTAAAAACAAAAACCGAACTACGGTTCAAATTCAAAAGATCGAAATGTTATGGCTGGTTACTGGACTTATCGACCCTTGGCCCTTTTAAGACGCATCACTAAAAAATAAA